GCATACCTCGCCCATTCGCCCAACCCAGCCAGCGCACCCGCCTACACCACCCACCGTCCCCACCCCGAGCTTCGCGCAGCCGTCGCGGCCGTCTGCGTATGCCAGACTCCGCCAGCTGTCGTCTCCCACGCTGTCTTCGGCTGGCATTTCCCCGCCAGCCTCGCCCGTCACCATGCCTCCACCATCACGCCCGAACCGGCCAGACACGAGGCCGACGGTGCCAGTCCGCAACCCCTCGATAGACTCGGCCGCATCCTCGCTGTCGTCGACGGCCTCGCAGAACCGCCCGCCCGCCAGCCATGCGCCCCGGCCGTCGCAGGACACGAGCACCGCCAACCCCCCAGACATGGCCAGTCTGATGGCCGCTGCAGGCTCGCCCGAGGCCGCCATGCTGGCCCTGTGGAAGGACAAGCAGAACACGTCCAGCCACAACGCGCAGCTCTGGCGGCTGGTGGAGAAGCAACGGTCCATGATCATCGGGCTCCAGAAAGACCTCGAGCGCGCACTGAAGGACAAGGACCGCTACCGCAGAAAGTTCAAGGAGTACGCTGAGCAGCTGCCACCCGGCCCCGGCTCGCTGCAAAAGTCCGACACGTTCGACTCGGTCGTGGAACGCGAGACCAGCCAGTCGCCAGCCCTCGGTGAGCAACCTGGTGACGCCGCTCGGCCCAGCGACACCAAGGCCACCGAGCACAAGACATCGCCCCTGACGCAAGAGCACCCCGCACCGCATCTCATCCCAGACTCACAGCTAGCGACGTCGCCGTCTCATTCCACGGCATCCAACATCTCGTCAGCCGTAAACTCACCTACAGACTACTCCGTGCAACCCCTTAGCCTTGGTAGCAGGGGCCTCGGCCTCGACTCTACATTGCTGCAGCCCGGCGATGCTGCTCAGCCCCCAGCGCAAGCTCCGAAGCCAGCCACTCCTCCCCAGAACACCTCAGACGTGACGCTCGTCCCGGGCAGCTCACAGCTCCAGCCTCCGCAGATATCGCTGATCCAAGCTACGCCTGTCGTCGGCGGCGATGGCTTTGAATCACCCCCAAGAAAGACTCCGCAGCCTCTGCGAAAGGCACCGCCAGCTCCACTCAACCTGTCGAAACCCACAACGACCAGCGCACATCTCCACCGGGCCGTGCATGGCGACGATGTCGACTCTGATTACGACGATATACTGGAGGTGGATGAGATACCTGTCGTGGAGCTGCGAGGAAGGAGAAAGACTCGAGAGGAAGATGACAGGGTCCGTGAGGCCATGTATTCGAAAGATGAGGAAGCTCGAAGCAAGTCGAAGAAGAAGAAAAGCGAAAGCAAGAGCAAACAAGCGACGCCTTCTGAAACACCAGCAGGCGATCAGCCTCAGGCGGTCCCGGTTCCCCTTTCGCCGCGTCAGTTCAATGCACTGCAATCGGGCCTTCCACTCTCTCCCCGTCACCCGCCAGCCAACTCTCTGAATGCTCTTCTTAGTCCTGCAAACTCCGATAGTTCTATGATGGCTAACCGGAGCGTCGCGTCCCCACTCATGAGTCCAGGTCTACCTTCCAGCCCCCGACCCACGGACAGGCCACTCGGATCGCCGTTACCCAGAAATCCTAAGCAGTCCATCGCATCACCACCCATGTCGCCGACTACCACGCACCAGTCGGCTGCTCGGGCAATGCAGCAACAAGTTCCATTCCCACCAAACACACCTCAGTCGTATCAGTCACCCCCAGCCAACCAAAATCAGCAGCCTAACCAGCTACGCAAAGAGGCGTCGACGGGCCTTTTGACTGTACCAGGTGCACAGCCCAGTCCAGAATCACCATCGAGCAGCCCTACTCTAAACGATGTTCCGGATGCAGAACACGTCTACCGCGGACTCGTGTCAGACCAGTACCCTGGACTCTTGCTGCCCCCGAATGCACTGCCCTCCATTCAAGTAAAGGTCTTCTCGTCTCGCCTTCGGCCATCACGTATGAGCATGCTCGCCCCCAAGCCGCAGGAGGAGGACCCTGTCTTTATTCTTGCCGTCTACGCCCGCTCTGATAACAAACAGCTGTGGCGTGTGGAAAAGACCATTGCTACGCTGCCTTCTCTAGACTCTCAGCTGAGGTCTTTGTGCGACTTTCAGGGACGACTTCCAGACCGTGCTCTCTTCGGAGGACATGCGCCTGCCAAGATTGACGCTCGCCGGGTCGCCCTCAACCAATACTTTGATACTGTCCTGGAAACTCCCATGAACGAGAAGACGGCATTGATTGTCTGTGAATACCTGTCTACTGATGTAATAGGCGCCCAGGCTGGCGATAGACTGGCCCCCGAGCCCACACCAGGTCCGATAGTGTCTGTTCAGAAAACGCAGCGCAAGGAAGGTTACCTCACCAAGCGTGGCAAGAATTTCGGAGGCTGGAAAGCGCGTTTCTTTGTTCTGGATGGCTCAGAGTTCAGGTACTTTGAGGGCGAGGGTGGTGCGCACTTGGGAACGATCAAGCTGCAAAATGCACAGATTGGGAAGCAGTCACAACAGCAGTCAAACCAATCGCCACAACGACGGGACGATTCTGAAGATAACCAATATCGACACGCCTTCCTCATCTTGGAGCCAAAGCGAAAAGATTCGACGAGCTTGGTGCGCCATGTGCTGTGTGCAGAGAACGACGAAGAGCGAGATGCTTGGGTCGAGGCTCTTCTGCAACATGTCGACATACCAGACGAAACTTCGCCAGTCGAGATTCGCGTCCCCTCTGCTACGCGTCTTCAAAAGCAGCAGGCCAGCCAAGATTCGGCACGCTCTCAGCGGAGAGAAAGCCCTGATATGGGAGAGCAGGATCGCTTGCAAGGCCTCAGCTATGACGACACGGTGCAAGCGCAAGCTCCCGTCCGCGGACCCAATCACCGTGACATGATGGCAGAAAAGCCGTCACGGGGGTCGCCTAAGGATTCGTCCTTCCTTCAAGACAATTCAGGTCACTATCCTGCCATCTCAGGACCAAGCAACGGAACCCCCATCAAGGACTCTGAGAGCTGGGGCAGCAAACCAGCGGCAGGACCCACGACCGTCAAAGACAAGAAACGTAGCATATTCGGCTTTAGAGGTCGTGGCGGCTCTTCTGACCTCGCACCAGTCCAGGTCAGCACTCCGCTGCAGCCAGCTGTAGAACATCGCCTGCCTCCGGGCCGCAGTGTGTTTGGTATTCCACTTATGGAAGCTGTGGAGTTTACGCAGCCTGACGGTGTCAACGTGGCGCTGCCAGCTGTCGTCTACAGGTGCTTGGAGTATCTGCGAGCAAAGAAGGCAATCAGCGAAGAGGGCATCTTCCGGCTCAGTGGATCAAATATTGTTATCAAGGGCCTGCGCGATCGGTTCAACAACGAAGGTGACATCAGGTTGCTAGACGGGCAGTACTATGACGTTCACGCCGTCGCATCGCTTCTCAAGCTGTACCTGCGAGAACTGCCGGCCTCTGTCCTAACTCGGGAACTGCATCTTGACTTCCTCAAGGTTCTCGGTAAGTGGTCTATCCGGATGACGTTGATTAGTAGACCATGGGCTGACACATTCTAGATATGGACGAGCGTAGCAAGAAGATCCAGAGCTTTAACGTTCTGGTACACAAGCTACCTAGGCCTAACCTTGAGCTCTTGCGACACATGGCGTCTTTCCTGATTGAGATTGTCGACAATTCCGGGGTGAACAAGATGACCGTGAGGAATGTTGGCATCGTATTTGCTCCGACTCTGAACATTCCGGCCCCGTTGATATCCTTCTTCCTGACTGACTACACGGATATCTTCGGTACTGCTCTCGATGAAGCAAGCTCCCCGATCCACGAGATCCGCAACAACACTTCTCACTTGGGGGACGACGCGATTCGGTCTCCTCGGAGGCAGATGTTCTCAGACCTCCCAACGCCTGCATATAACGAGACGACATTCCAGCAGCGTATGGACCGACCGCCTCAAGGCTATCAAGGGAATAGCGCTCCCAACTATCCGCCCCCACAGCCCCCGCAGCAGTATCAACAGCAGCAGCAGCAGCAGCAGTACGGCCAACAGCAGCAAGGCCAATACAACGGCTATGATTCGGGATTCATTCCCATGCGACCCAGCTACGATGCGCCAGCCTACGACCAGCCATATCACTCTGGAGAGGGATACGGCAGCTTGAACGGTGCTGTTCAGTCTAGCGGAGCTCGCGAACAGCGGCAACGAAAACGAGAGAGCGGCATGCTTTTAATGAACATGGGCATGGGCGGCCAACGCAAGGGCTCGGGTGGATCCAACCCTCCACGCGGAGATGGACGGATGGATGCACGAATGTATTCACAAAACACCAACAACCCTCTAATGGTACGAGAAGAGACGGCGTTCGAGTGAGCAAGCCTGGGCTCGATTCGCGACAGAGACGACACATGACGATGCACCAAGAATTCAGTCTAATTTTTGATTCTTAATTCAGGACCACGGGCCGGATCTTTGGTTACTTGGAAGCGCCGGAGAGGCGGGATTTGGGGTTCCTTTTGCGTGTTGTACGGATATTCAGCGATACCAGGCGTTTGGCGAGATGGAGCAGGCGACTCGCTCGGAGTTGTGTATGCTTTTCGCGTTGCATACCCCCGCCCCTTGCTTGCAGCAGGCCACTTTCTTTGTTTCGGCGACAGGTTGGTTTCGGCAGTCGCGCGGCGCGTGTTGGAGCTTTCTTTTTGTGCAACTTTTGCTGAGATATCCTGGTTACTTTGATGTATGCGTGGTGCACTGCATTTGCGCAATTGGTTAGGAAATGAATTGAACTCTGCTAGCACCTACTGTGATGGTTGACCATGTTCGTGATGGGATCGCGTTGGCCTAGCGTCCCGAGGTCTGAGCTTGGGCGTGGATGCGCTTTCCGCGCTGAGACGCAGCTTCCCTCTCGGCGATTGACGACTGCGACGCGCCTGCCTGCTTGTTCGAGACGCGCGCTCAGGCGACAGCGGGCCAGCACAGGACTAGTGGAACCAGACACAGAGCACTTGGCCATGGACGACGGAGCGGCTGCCACGGCGCCTCTGCCTGCGCGCCCCGACGAGCCCGACACGAGAAACAGCCTGCGACACATTCTGGCCGCCGACCCCCCGATGGACGACTCCAAGCCCTCGCCCTCGCAGGCCAACACGCCTGTCCCCGATGGGAGCGACGCTGGCGGCGATGCGCCCGACGCCGCCCGCCCCGTCAACGACACGGACCCGGCGAGGCCGTACTACACGGCGACGACGACGACGACGCGCCGCAATGCCAACGGCAGCGTGTCGTCCGTCTACAGCGGCAACAAGATCAAGCACCTGAAGAAGGACGACGGCATCCCGCTGTGGCGCAAGGACATCCAGTTCGACTTCCTCAAGCTCGTCTTCGAGGACGACCGGCCCGTCTTCACCAAGCAGTCGGACAGCACCAGCGGCCACACCTTTGCCGACATCTACCTCGACGCCATGGCCAAGAGCAGCAAGTGCAGCAAGATCCTCAAGGACAAGCTGCTGACGGAGCGCCCGGCTGCCATCAACATGGCCATGGTGTGTCTGCTCGTCAACGTCGGCCGCATGAACACGACGCTCAACTGTAGGCCACCTGCTGTCCCTCCTCGAGCCCCCCTAACCTGCCACAGTCTTCCCCGAGATGCGCGCCCAGCTGCGCACCTACCACTCCATCCCCTCCCTCCAGGCCCACCAAGACCCGAATGCCTACAAGCAGCTGCAGGACGCGCCCCGCTTGAAGTCCATCCTCAAGGGTGCCACCGAGGACCAGGAGCAGCCCAGCACCATCGAGGAGATCATGGCAGCCTCCGTCCCGCGTACCAACCCCGTCAACCTCATCTTCGTCCTGTCGCAATACGCCCCCAAGATCTCAGAGCTGCACTTCTTCCCGCCGCGCGACTTCTTCGACCTCGTCATGCGCTCCAACCTGAGCAGCAAGAGCAGAGCCACGGCCTTCCTCTGGCTCATGTGGTGGTATCTCGAGAGCGACTTCACCAAGGAGGCTGCCGAGAGCAACCCTTTTGGTCCCGGCCAGATGGGTCCGGCCGACGATCCGACTACGGCTGAGTTCCCTATCAAGTGCCCGCCTTTTGACATACTCTCGCCAGAGCAGGAGGCGCTGGAGAACGTCGACTCCATCGAAGAGAAGACTTTCGGTGAGATTAAGCGCAAGGAGAGGACAGCTATATTGGCAAGCGACATGGCGCCCGTCGTGACAGGCCCCAAGCGTACCAACAAGAAGGGTGAGTGCTGCTATCCACCTGTGACTCCGCTCACGTCCGGCTGTAGCTGACCCACCTCTAGGCTTCAACCAGAACCCAGTCTTCTCCATCGCCGCCGATGATGGTGCTTGGACACCTGGACGCGACAGGCAATCGCCTTCCCATGGTATGCTGCTCTCTAGCCGTTGCGGCGACACCGATCTAACAACACCAGGCTCCGCACGAGGACGAGGCAAGCTTGCAAAATCCATCATCGAACGAGACTACCCCTCAGACACTGACCGTACTCGGTCTGCGTCTCCACCGAACAGCGTCTATAACACAGCCAAGAAGGTGGCTACGCCCAACATGCGCATCAATACCCTCCTCAACGAAGACGGACCGGCTTCGTCTCCTGCGCCCAAGGGCCCCGGCCGCGGGAACTGGTCGCGCAATCGCACATCAGGCATAGGCGCCGGAGGAACACCAGCCGCACGTTCTTTCAAGACCAAACTCGACGCTCCACACTCGCAAGATGGCCAGTCCCCCTCTACATCCGCACCCACCTTCAACGGACCACACGGCTTCTACCTCCCGCTCAACGGTTCCGACCCCTCGCACAAACGAACACGTCCCCTTACACAACACCAACTAGCTGTCGAGCAATACAGGAGGCGACGCGTCGACGTCATTCTTGACAGAGGTATTCGCATCGAGTACGCCGCCGCAGCCAAGCGCCGCCGCAAAGCCAACCCCTTTATGCGCAGCTGGATCCGCTGCAAAGGCATGGCCGACGGCTACGACACAGACGAAGAATCGCACGCGCAATTTGCCCAACTTCCCGAATACGAACTCGGCACCAAAACACCCCCGCCCATGCCCTCCGGCCTCGTACCTCTCGACTTCGGCGGCGAAGTCAACGACCATGGCGAGGAGTCGTACTACCGCGCTAAGATGCTCAGCAGAGCCCTGCGTCGCTTGGATCGCTGGGAGGGCGGCAGAAGTGCGCTCAGAGCCCGACCCAAGGGCGAGAGGGGTAGCGGATTGCCAGACGTCCATGACAGACCTGTTTTGGGTAGTGAAGATGAAGATGACGAGGATGATGGCGATGACATGATGGATGTGGATGAGATGGAGAGGAGGGAGGCGTTGGAGGATGCTAGTGAGGAAGACAGCGATGATGATGTTGACATGGAGGGCGAGAGAAGATGGGATCCTACTTCACTTCCGCCATTGCCCAGGATGGCTTGACGCGGCGTTGGGCTCAGTTGAGTAGCTGTGAAGTTGTAACTTTGGCATTCTGTCTTGTCTTTTGTAAGGGTCGGGTTTCTTGTGTTTCGATAGGCTGGGTAGCATGGCGTTCATTGCGTGAGACGTGTAGTCGTCTTTATATGGAGATCGGAAAGATTGATTTGCCAGATTATCTGATAATATCGTTCTCATAAAAGACTGGGTGCATAGTAATACCTTGTAATATGGGGGTGGCTTTGTGTTTGTCGGTGTACGCTGATGACAAGACCACCGTGTTGGTACGATTGATACTGATGACTGTTAAAGACACGTAACCTAATAGAGACATTGGACTTTTGCAACCGTATATTACAGTGCAAGGCTGGGCTAAGGTTGGCTAGTTATCGACACCAGATATGTGAACCTTTTAAGCCACATTCCCAACATAACAACACGACTGACATCAACTTGAAGCTTCAATTCGACAACAACTTGCAGCAAGCTGATTTTACAACACTACAACTAAGCCAACAGAAAGTTCAATGGTATCGTCACAAACAATAACACCCTAACGCGGACATCTCCTAGCAAATTATTCCCGCGCACTCCGGCAACAGAAAATCCCTGGCTGCCGCTTCAGATCAGAGCTTTCGCTCGACAACGACGACGAAGACACTGGCCAGGAAGACACCGACAGGCGTCCTGGTGCCGAATTGGGTTCAGGTCCCACACCTCCCTAAGGCGCAATTGTATACGCATTGCCATGTTCATTATCCCCACCTGCATTGGCATGGCCATTAGAAGCGAAGTTTGTATGCCCGTTGGAAAGTCCATTCGTGTGTCCGTTCGTCAGCCCCCCGTTCGCATGGCCATTGGTAAGATGGCCATTGAGACCCGTCGCAACAACAACATCCTCGCTATCGTAGTGCAGCCGTAGACTCGTGGGGATGGGACTCTCCTTCGAGCTCGAATCAAGATAATGTCGCATCGTTATGCCGGCGAGTTTGTGCTCCGTGACGGTAAAACGACCCTGTTTGCCCGGTGCGCGCCGCACGTTTGGTAGTTTGAAAACTTCGCGCAGCGTCGCGGCGAGAGACGGGCCTACGAGGCGGGCGCCGAAGCAGAAGTGCAGGCCATGGCCGAGCAGTGTGTACTCCTTGAATGGGCGATGCGGGTCTAGGATCTCAGGGTTGGGAAACGCAACGGGGTCCATGGCGGCTTTGGAAGTTGCAATGAGGATCGTGTGGCCCTTTTTGACGGAAACAGGGCCGCGGACGCCGTCGTTGACGGTAATGTCGCGCGTCGCAACGCGAGGTAGACCGGGAACAACACCAACGTGGCGCATGCCTTCGTAAACGAAGCCTTGGAGTTCGCGGTCCGAGGTCGTAGGGTCCATGTGCGATAGCTCGACGATCCTTGCCTTGTACTTTTCGTACCCAGGAGATAGGAACAAGTCGATCAGCAGACTGGCTTGCTGTGTCAGATTTCCGGCGACGGGCGCTCCCATACCGATGCAGTCACCGACCATGTCTCCGATGGGCAGCTTGGTGTCCGCTAATGCATGGTAGATGCGGTCGGCGTGTGGGCCTACCTCGAAAGCGGAGCCCTTGGCCATCCAGTCGACGAAACCTTCTAGACGTCCAGTTTGCGTCTTAAGATGGGTTTCGAAGATGGATCGGAGAGGGGCTGCGGCTTGCATAGCGCCTGCACGCAGCTTCCATTCGTTATGCGGCATTATGTTGAAGGACTGGTACATGACTGGGCGGAGGTTAGCACCTGTTGCAGGTTCAAGAGCGCTGGACTGGTTACTTACACAGTACGAGATAGGCTAGGAAAGCTTCGTGGACGGAGAGCAAGCCTCTAGGTTGCTCTTGTGTCTTCAGCGGGAGTGCAAAACGCTCAGCGAGCCAAAGGATTGGCGTAATGTTGGTAACATCACGGACAATGTCGATGCTCATCCTGCCCTTGGCGCCTTTGAGGGAGTTCTTCTTGATGAGATTGCGTACGTTGGTCGTGAAGAACTCGTTGATGTTCTTCTCGAAGCCCTCCTCAAAGAAGACCTTGTGCAGAATGTTGGAGCGTTCATCATGCTTCTTCTGCTCGTCCCAGCCGATCATGAAGTCATGTCCAGCAGTACAGTTGCGAATAGCTGCCTGGTACATGACAACGAAACTCTCACGATCCTCGAAGATTTTCTTGCAACCCTCCTGAGTTTGGACGCTGACGATGTCGTAATCGCTGGGAGGGCGTCTGAGGTCGTACTTTTCAAGCACACCATTTCCTTGAAGAATCTCCTTCGCTGCTTTGGGAGTGTAGAAGGGCAGCAGCGCGTAGCTGGAAGTTCCCTTGAATCCACCCGGAAGACCCTGGAAGAGCAGCTTAGGAAACACACCACCGTATGCACCGGGTGTTGTCTCCGCCAGCAAAGCCGCTCCCCACTGCGTAAGGGTGTTACTGTTGAAGTCGTAGCTCAGGAAACGATCACCGCGAACCAATGCGACGGCGTCGTCCAGGATACCTCGACCAGTCGTTTGACCAGGGCAGACACCACTTCCCGGCATGGCAGGTTTGGTGCACTCGGCCATCAATCCAGGGTAGAGTTCCATGTTCTCCATGTGGCCGTACAACAGCTCGGCTGCTCGTGCTGTCTCTTTATCGGAACACCAATCTTCAAACGTATCGTACGGCTTCAGATTAAGATACCGGCGGAACTCGTTGAGCGTGCAGACATTGAACATCTCACGGGCCTGCAATTGGCCCATGAGGTCAACGACCTTTAGACTGGCGGGGGTACCGTGGGCACCAAAAGCATGGGCAGGCTCCTCGATGCAGTCTTTGATAAGCTCGGAAAGTTGGGCATCGTTGAACCTGCCGTCAGCGCCTCGCTCAAGGCCTCCAAAAGTCCACTCCCAGGGCTTCTTGCTCATCAAGTCATGACCATATACCTTCATGACTTGGTGGAACATCTCGATTGTCACATCGTCGATGTGGCGGATGTCAGGGAAGACGGAACGGATGATATCTTCCATCCATGTCTCATCCGCGGCACTGAGAGCAGCGTGCCAGTGGTAAAGGACAGCAAACTCCACGGATACATGGCTGCCGGTTCCGCGCTCGACACGTGTGCCGCCTTGCTTGATCTCTTTACCAAGATCAAGAGACCATTCCGAGTTGGCTCGTGGTGTGTTCAAGATGGCAGCGACATAGTCTTTCAGTACGACTGAAGCAAAGAAACCGACGTTAATGTTGCGCGTGATCTGGAAAATGTCTTCGTCTTGCCTGAAATCGAGTTAGGCTCATATCGCGTACAGGGACTACAGCAAACTTACCATTTCCTGCCTGCCTCGTCCAGAGTATCCCAGGGCTTGTATTTGCCGTCCTCGTTCACTGACAGCAGCGACTCCGCGACGTGGTTGTGGTTTCTCGAGAACATCAACAGTACTGCGACTACACCAGGGGGCATCATCATGATGCGCTCCGAGGCGATTGAGTCTGGGTAGATCAGGCCATCTTTGTAAGTTCGCACGCGATGTTGCTCCTTCTCTGTATTGCCGTACAGGGTGCTGAGGTCAACATAGCTCGAAGTCTCATTGATCCAAGGATCTGTCCTAGAGGTTTGGAAACATTCGTGTATGACTATGGTTGCGAAGGAGAAGAAGAGGCGATTCAGACCAGACGGGTGCTCGCGGAAAGGACCACTGCGCTTGAGAAGCGCCTCGTATACGTCTTCAACGTCAGGTAAATTTGGCCCTTGAGAAGTTGTCAGTCCTGATTCGCATGGGATGATAGCAACAGGGTACTTACCTTTCGGTTTGGTGGGAGGTACATTTCGCGCATATGGCGAACCTGCCTTGCCCATTTCAGGGTTGTGGGGATTGTTTCCTGCGCCGTCGTGCTTCCGGTATCGTGCCGATGGGCCGGCATGCGTGGGTGTTGGGTGTGGTAAATCATTCCAGAGCATGCTGATGAAACCATCCGACACCTTTGCACTGAGACCGCTGTTCAGAGGAAGACCCTGTAGCATCTGAACTCCCTTCTCGAGGAGAAGTTCTTTGTCGTCCAGAGGCTCACCGGATGCGAGTGTCGTAATGGCATCGAGGGCAAACTTGGCATCCTTAACACCGAGACCTCTAATGTCGCTGACGATGCCAGTCTTCTGGTGGTTCTTCATGCCACTCGACGCTTCCGCTGTTCGGCCATCGCTGGCTTGCGTCGGCTTCCTCCTGATCTTTCCGATCAATGTTTGTATCTGGCTAGGCATGATGAATAAGTGTGTGTATGACCATGTGGAAAAGATGGGAACGGGGAGAATATGAATCCCAGGGCCGGACGGAGTTCACAAAGTAAGTTCAACGTAGCTTGCTGTTGATCTGGGAGGCGCAATGCTCCCCACGCAGGAGCTTGGCCATGGCAAGCAGCAGCGAGCCAGTTGCGTGGCGACGATCGCTAGCAGCTACGGTGTGTTGATCAGCATATGCACTCGGCGAACAGTGTCCTGCGGCTTCCTCAAGGGCGGACGAACCCATGCCTGCATCGGGATGATGTGAGTAGCGTCCGGATCTTGATATCGTCAGACCTCTGATGGCTACAAATGTCCGACTGCTCATTGGTCGTGACTTCCTTTGTGGAGGGTAGTGCCAGACGGATTCTGCGCTACCTTCGCTAAGAACTGACAGAGGGGTATCGAGCACTGCATGACAAGTCCAAGGAATGATCTGTGAGCGGTCCTCAAGACCCACAGCGTAGTAGCACCATTGGCTCCATGAGGAAACGACTAACTAGACCCACCTGTGACGATCCATGGATGGCCTTTGCGACATTGCGAAAAGTCCAAAAGCAACGTGTAGCCAGGAGGTGGGTACGCCTGCCACGTTTCAGGCTTCAGCGCTTTTGGTTGCCTGGGAGTCGTTGTGGTCTCACTTCGGCTGTCTCCCTATGGGAACGTGTCGAAGATGTCGCAACCCTGGCGGTCGATAACATGATAGACAGGAACGGCGACCTGAACTCGCGACCATTCCAAA